AAATGGGTCTGGGGATGAGGGGGGGGAGTGCAGAGAAAAATACATCTTTATTAGGAGAAAAATAAGAAACCACTCTCTTTGTTTAGAATAGCCTGTAGGTTAAATGTGCCCAGTTATATTAAGGACAAAATTTGAGAAAGTTTTCCTTTTTTTAATACCAAAATAAAAATAATATTGGAATGCAAATTAGTTTTAGCAAATTTTTTGATAAAAAGTATTTTTTCATTCTACCACCTACCTCCGTCTTATTTCTGATAAAGACCTTAAAAATGTTTTCATTCTCCTGGGCTCAAATTTTCTATGCTTCATATCTTCTAAATCCATAACTCCTTAAAACCAAAAGAAGTTGTTACAACTTGGGATATTTGCATATAAGGAATTAAAAATCTTATAGATGTATTAAGATCTATTTATTTTCTTTTTTAGGTTACATTTATGACTTTATTTTTAGAAAATTTAATATAAAAGTTTTTAAGTAAATTTAAATATAAGCTTTAATACTTAAAGATGTTTTGTTTTTCTCTGGTCACTTTGCCCTGGACCAAGAAAACAGTTCCAACTGAGAGAGAATCTCAGATTAGTATTCCTCACAAAAACCTTCCCTTCCTATGCTGTACATGGTTCTCTGAAGCATCACAAAACCTGTCTTTACCAGTTAATGGTTGTCACACTTCTTCACCTTGATAAGCTTGAATTCCAGGTTTCATGCTCATTTCAGCATTACTGCCCATCTTTGTGGACAAGCCGCCAAGTAAGCAGGTTGGGGGTGCCATATAACGATGCGTACAGTGTCTTAGAATCTTATACTGTTAGACATGTAGAGCAGGAAAGCCCTGCCTGTCTGTAAGGAAGACTCCGGCCCCTCTCGCCTTCCAGACACAGCTGGGAAGCCTGAAGTATGTGGGAGGTGTGGGCCCTGTCGGAAAAGCCTGTGGCAGCTGCCCAGGTCCAAGAACTCTATTTGTTGATCCAGAATTGAACTCAATCTTGCTGCTCTCATTTGAAGCCTATTTAAATTAGCTTGTTTATCTGGTTTTCCCTTCTAGAGAAGATAGAAATTACTAGAAGAAGGTAGAGTCTGTAACTCAAGGCAGACATGCTCTGTTTGCCAAACCTCATTCCATACATGTCTTCTGGTTATTTCCTATAGTTAGATTCTCATCTATCTATAGATGTCTCATATTCTGATTACTTTTGGTCCTCCATTTAAGGGAGAAGTACATATTTTTGATGCTTTTTCAGCAGAGTTTTGTTTCTGAACTTCTATAGGCAATAAAAGCTATCACAGCAAAATATTCACATAAACATCAAATTTTACAGCCGCTGTGTACCACTCAGTATCCTTCTAGTCTGTCTGAAAGGTAATGCTCTATTTCCTGTTTTCCAGTCTGCTTTGCTGTGCTGCTGTTTTTCCAAGATCACGACAGGTGATGAGCTTTCATTATGAAGTGATTTGCTGCTGCTCCTGTCTTCTTTCTGTGATCTAGACTGCTGACGAAGTCGCAGCAGTGAGTGAGCCCATCACAGGTGCCACCTGAAGTCTTTTACTCCCCTTTTTAGTTCTCTGGTAGGCTGAAATCTTCATTAACCAAGGCCCGGGCAGTCCCCCCGGCGCGAGGGCAGCCGGGTTCAACGCCGGTCTCCCGGAGTCGAGCCTCAGAGCTGTGCCCGCCCGCCGCCCGCACCCCGGCGGCAGTTGGAAGCCAAGGGCTGTCTTCTTCCAGCTCCTGGTTTCCTCTCTCCCTCTCTCTCCCTACAGGAAGCATCGTCCCTCTTTCTCCTCCCCGCCTCCTTTCCCAGCAGGCCGTCGTGGTCGTTTCTACTGTTTGAAATGTCGTCGGCACCATGCTTTTTCTTCTTTCTTTTCAGCGTAACAGAATTCTTTGTTTTTGCCCCACACCCAGCGCCCCATGCGGCCGTGCCCTCCTCGACCCCCCGCCCCTTCAGAAGCCTCATGCTTTTTCACTCGGAGCCTGTCTAGTTGTGAGAGTCGCATCTTTCCCTGCTTAAACCGAGTATGGCTGAAGCGGGGCTGAGGCGGGAGGGAAGGGGGCGGGCCGTGTACAGGGACTTCCTCAGTGGAGCCCCGCGCTCGCCCAGAGCCAGGCCGCAGCGCTCTCCTTCCCGCCTCTTGCCCGCCGCTCCTGCCGCCGCCAGCTCCGGCCCCGTGTCTCACCTCCAGGGACACATTCTTTTCTCCTGCCCCAAGTGTGGAAAAAATATCTCGTTGTCCGAGTTTTGGTGAAATAAAATTGGCATCTGGAAGATGCCCCATTTGCTGGGAAACTTCGGAGGGGCCCCTGCTCGCAGGGCGCGGAAGCGCGCAAGTTCTCGGGGTGCACGGGGAAGGGAGGGGTGAGGAGGCGAGGGGCGTGCTGGGGGCCGGGGGCTCAGCGTGGCTGCCCAATCCAGACTTCCCTGGAGGACCTCGGCGCCCGGGGCGAGCCGCGTTGCCCTGGGGCATCCTCAGCCCGTTCGGGGGTCGCTTGGAAGCGCACCCGCTGCCCCGCCCCGCCCGGACCCCCGAGTCAAACGGGCCTGGACGGGCCTGGACGAGTGCGTTGTAACGTGGGCTCGGCGCTTGCGCATCTTCATCTGAAGAACGGCCCTTCGGGGTCCCGATGTTCGGTTTCTGAGCCCGCACCTCCTTTATGCGTTCCTGCCTTGAGGTGCCCGGGGGCGGCTGTGACCGACTCCCCCAACCATGTGCATGGGAACCTGCAGCGTAAAGCAGCCAGCGGCCCCCGCCCTGGCCTCTGGGGCTGTGGAGGTCTGGGCCGGAGCGTGCGTGTTCTCGGGGCTCCCCGTGGGGGTCCCGGGCTCCCCCGGCCTGCGCACGCGCGCTCCCGGTGTGCCCTCCTCTCCTCCGCGGTCACATTGCCCTTCCGAGTTAAGTGTGAGCGGCTAAGATTTCTCTTGGATGCAAGGCTCAGCTGTGCACCTGCTCCGGAAAGACGTCCACGACCCTGTCCTCCTGGGTCGCGGCTGGGCCTCCGACACCCAGCGGGTGTGCTTACGGCCCCTTCCTAACTTCCTTGCTTGCGTGTGTGGCTCTCCTGGTGGACGCTGAGCTTCGTTGTCCTTAGGAAACCGAGCCAAGCCCAGTGCCTGGCCTAAGGTTGCTGGGATAAAGGCTTGTCCAGTGGAGGCGGGAGCGAGAGCTTGGGAGGGTTCCTTGACGCACATTCTCTTCAGTTTGTGTTCTCTCTGCTGTAAGGAACCGCCGGCTTTGCGTTTGTATTAGATTGGTCTGTGGTCCTTAGGAAAATTGTGCTTTAAAAACAAAATACGATTGTGAGAAAATGAAGATGTTTTGCTGATCTAAACACTGGCAAAGTACATTTTTCTTGGTAAATGTTACAAAATAAAGAAAGTTCCAAGTAAAGTTAAGAGGGGATCTACTAGATGTTGGCTAAGTGCTTTAAAAAGGTTAAAAAAAAAAAAAAATAGTTTTTTTCATTCCCTGTCCAAATATTTCAACTGAAATTTACTGGTAGCTCTTTCAGAGGAAGATGGGAACTCTGCAGTCCTTTGTTTGTTATAAAGAAAATGATTTTGTCTTCGGATGTTTGGAGTAAGGATTAAAGGCAATTTATGACTTGGGTATAAAGTAATAAAAGTAGTAACAATGGAGTGTCTTCGAAATTGTCATCATTTACCGGAATTACTAACAATAGCAACTCAGCAGGCATTTTACATCCAGAAAGAATTACTTTCATTTGTCGTGCTTTAATGTAAACTCTAGCCTCAGTCTTCTTACTGCTGGGTTGGATCAGTTCCTTCATTCCACTGTTCAAAAACAGGATTTATTCAGAGGAATTCTGCTATGAGATCTTTTACCACCGGGCTCAAGAAATATATTTATAACTCCTTTCTTTCAGGAAATAAGTGTCAAGATCTACATAAAAAGTCTCTTATTAAGATAAGTTATGGCTTTTTTAGTTTCTCCAGGAATACGCCATTTTTAACTCCCAACGGAAATCATAATAATAAATAAACTAACCTCACAGGTTATTTTCCTTTTTAGGGTACCCCTTTTTATTAGTATAATCCTAGTATAATTAGTATAATTAGTATAATATAATATAGATTTCTTACCATTTGTTTAATTAAAACAATCACATATACTTTTTAGAGCATTTTACAATTTATAAAGAACTTTTTAAATAAAGGTTTTTTGGTCTTCGCAACAATTCTGTCTAGGAATAAGAATGCTATTATATATTAAGCTCTTTTACTATTTGACAGAATATAAGGGGTATCAGGACATTACCCAGTATCAAATCACAGATCCAGAACTCAATGAAGAACTTAACCACCAAATAACATCCTCTCTTAACTGTACCTCTGGTAAATTTAATGCTGTTTTCCTTGGGGTATGTTTTTTAAAAGAACTCCCAGAAGTGTTAAAACATTATTATTGCACACGTTCTATTTTCTGTTTTCACTTTTTTTGTTTGCTTGCTTGTTTTCAAATAAATGGTGGGTTCTGTTGCTTAACGAAGCTCAGGCTTTTAAGACCTGCCCAAGCATTCACTTTTAGGCAACAACCACGAGTGTGATGTGGAAAGTGATTTGTAATAATTTTAAAATAAGCATGTGAGGTTTTGTATGATACTGGTTGTTTAATTATTTTAATGCTTCAGATTTATGTAATGGAGCCCCTCTCAGAACCCTCACCTGAAAATTCCCTTAATTTCTCCTACATCAGACTCTTTTAATGCAGGATGAAATGTAGGTATAACATTTTTAATGTATTTGTAGATCATTCCATTCAACATTCTTTGATTCCAAGATGAGAACCCCTGGATGAATTAGCCTCTAGCTCTAACGTTCAATGTTTTTGAATCAAATGTCCAATAATATTCCTGGGTATGTGGTATTATTTTCTCCAATAATTCAAATCCTTAGTGCGTTGATATTTGCTTACCTGCCGTAAGGTGGATTGCAGTGGTCTGTGTGGGTCTTTGTTGAAACGCATGTGTCTTCTCTCCATCCAGAGTAAAAGAAGCCGAAGAGGTCTGCAGGCAGAAAAAGGGAAAATCACTTTATAAAATAAAACCAAGACATGACTCTGGAATTGTAAGTATTTAACTCTTTCCTTTTTTTTTTTTAATTTTATTTTTTTATAAACATATATTTTTATCCCCAGGGGTACAGGTCTGTGAATCGCCAGGTTTACACACTTCACAGCACTCACCATAGCACATACCCTCCCCAATGTCCATAACCCCACCCCCCCTCTCCCAACCCCCCTCCCCCCATCAACCCTGTTTGTTTTGTGAGATTAAGAGTCACTTATGGTTTGTCTCCCTCCCAATCCCATCTTGTTTCATTTATTCTTCTCCTACCCCCTTAACCCCCCATTGTTGCATCTCCTCTCCCTCGTATCAGGGAGATCATATGATAGTTGTCTTTCTCCGATTGACTTATTTCGCTAAGCATGATACCCTCTAGTTCCATCCACGTCGTCGCAAATGGCAAGATTTCATTTCTTTTGATGGCTGCATAGTATTCCATTGTGTATATATACCACATCTTCTTTATCCATTCGTCTGTTGATGGACATCTAGGTTCTTTCCATAGTTTGGCTATTGTAGACATTGCTGCTATAAACATTCGGGTGCATGTGCCCCTTCGGATCACTACGTTTGTATCTTTAGGGTAAATACCCAGCAGTGCAATTGCTGGGTCATAGGGTAGTTCTATTTTCAACATTTTGAGGAACCTCCATGCTGTTTTCCAGAGTGGCTGCACCAGCTTGCATTCCCACCAACAGTGTAGGAGGGTTCCCCTTTCTCCGCATCCTCGCCAGCATCTGTCATTTCCTGACTTGTTAATTTTAGCCATTCTGACTGGCGTGAGGTGGTATCTCATTGTGGTTTTGATTTGTATTTCCCTGATGCCGAGTGATGTGGAGCACTTTTTCATGTGTCTGTTGGCCATCTGGATGTCTTCTTTGCAGAAATGTCTGTTCATGTCCTCTGCCCATTTCTTGATTGGATTATTTGTTCTTTGGGTGTTGAGTTTGCTAAGTTCTTTATAGATTTTGGACACTAGCCCTTTATCTGATATGTCATTTGCAAATATCTTCTCCCATTCTGTCAGTTGTCTTTTGGTTTTGTGAACTGTTTCCTTTGCTGTGCAAAAGCTTTTGATCTTGATAAAATCCCAATAGTTCATTTTTGCCCTTGCTTCCCTTGCCTTTGGTGATGTTCCTAGGAAGATGTTGCTGCGGCTGAGGTCGAAGAGGTTGCTGCCTGTGTTCTCCTCAAGGATTTTGATGGGTTCCTTTCTCACATTGAGATCCTTCATCCATTTTGAGTCTATTTTCATGTGTGGTGTAAGGAAATGATCCAATTTCATTTTTCTGCATGTGGCTGTCCAATTTTCCCAACACCATTTATTGAAGAGGCTGTCTTTTTTCCATTGGACATTCTTTCCTGCTTTGTCGAAGATGTAACTCTTCCCTTTGTAACTTGGGATTTGCTTTGGCTTTTAAGCACTGTTTTCAAAATGTATACAAACTCACATAATAACATTTTAATTATTTTCCCCTTAAGTGTGAGAGAGATTCTTTGTCTTCTTTTCCTTATGCCTTTAATCAGGCCCAAAAGGCTAAGAGAGTCTCAGGATCGAGCATCCAGAGCTTAAGAATGAAGACGAATCTGTTAGAGGCTGCCTATACCTACGTGTGTGTGTGTGTAGGGGCAGGAGTTAGGGGCCGTTTCTCACTTTCTCCATTACATAAGCATCACCCGCCCAGGGCTGCATCTGGGCTGGGGTCACTGGATTAGCACCGCTGGGATCTAAAACATGATGGGCAACGCCAAGTGTAGTATTGTCCTTTGCTCAGACTGGGGGGCTCAGACCTGTCTTGTACCCCTAAGTGGCTCTCAGACTTGGCCGTTTAACAACTGTCAGCCGGGACGTTGAGTTTAACAAGCTCATCTAAGGTTCCTCCTTGCCCACATCTCTCCTTAAACTGCCGTATTGTGCACCCTGGAAGGCAGGGCTTGGTAAAAATGACGAATTTCCCTTGTGATGCTGCAGTGTTGTGAATGTTTTGAGGGTATATCACTTAGTACCGCAGGGGTTAAGTAAATGATGCTGTTTTAAATGAAAAGTTGGGTTAGGCCTTAAAATAGGAACATCTGGAATTGTATTAATCTAATGTCTAAATGGAAAAGATCAAAATAACCGAAGTTGGAATATGATTAAATTCTGATTAAACCCTATTTAGAAAATGTTAGGAAGTATACCTTCATTTAAAAGCTATTTCCATGGGTGCCTGGTTGGCTCACTGGGTTAAGCTTCTGCCTTCAGCTCAGGTCATGATCTCAGGGTCCTGGGATCCAGCCCTGCATCGGGCTCTCTGCTCAGCAGGGAGCCTGCTTCCCGCTCTCTTCAATCTGCCTACTTGTGATCTCGGTCTGTCAAATAAATAAATAAAATCTTTTTAAAAAATAATAAAAACTATTTCCAGGGTTGCCTGGATGGCTGTGGTTAAGCGTCTGCCTTCATCTCAGGTCATGATTTCCAAGGCCCTGGGATTGAGCCCCACATCGGGCTCCCTGCTCAGTGGGGAGCCTGCTTCTTCCTCTCCCATTACCCCTGCTTATGTTCCCTCTCTCACTGTCTGTCAAATAGATAAATGAATAAATAAATGCTATTTCCCCTTTAGTTTCTTTATATCAAATAATTTTGACAAGTATTATGGTTTAGTTAATTTTCTTTCTGGTTAAAGTACAACCTTAAAGGTGCATTGAATGAGGAGGAATAAGTATTAATTAACCTCAGTCATGTCATTATAAGGATAAAAGAGAATTAAGTCATATTAACCATGAAACAAAGCAGCAATTCAATCTTCATACTTATGTATTTGTGCATAGAACTGATAATGAGAAAGGTGAGTTGGCACTTTTTCATGTTAGCTAGAAGCTGCATTTTTTTTTTAAGATTTTATTTATTTATTTGACAGACAGAAATCACAAGGAGGCAGAGAGGCAGGCAGAAGGTGAGGGGGAAGCAAGCTCCCTGCTGAGTAGGGAGCCCCACATCATGACCTGAGAAGGCAGAGACTTAACCCACTGAGCCACCCAGGCGCCCCTAGAAGCTGCATTTTTAAAACTTTTTTTTTTTTCTCAAAAATATTTGGTGTATATTTTGGTGAAAATTATTTTTTAAGATTTATTTATTTGAAAGAGAGAGAGAGACAGAAAGTGGGGGGGGGGCAGGCTTCCCACTGAGCAGGGAGCCCAACACAAGGCTCTATCCCAGGACGCTGCGATCATGACCTGAGTTGAAGACAGACGCTTAACTGACTGAGCCACCCAGACAGCACTTGGCTTTTGAAAATTCTTAAAGATAAAACAGATTTTACTTATATCTTTTTCCTTTATGTGCTGGTGGATCTTTAACCTTTTCCCAGAGAATTTGACCCAAGTGAAAAGATCTTGTTTGAGCTATTCTAAACTCCGTACATTTTTTAAAGTTCTTCTTTCTAACTATAACTCTTATCTGGTGCGTTTATTTTCAGAAAGCAAAGATAAGCATGAAAACCTGAACAATGAGAAGCAGAATAAATATGAGTCACTGTAACCACTTCCACAAAATTCAGCTGACCTGAGGACGGGAAGGAAACTACATCATTTTGTTCATTTTTCCTCTTGACCTCTTGCATAATCTTTGTGTTTTCTAAACAGTTCACTGGTTGTTGAATTTTACTGTATATTCATGAAAATGCAAAAGCAGTAGACCAGTGGAGAATTTGACACCTTTTCTTTTTTGTAAAGTTTATGGTATTATATCGATAGACCAAAACAACAGCATGTATAAGAGGCAATATTTCCATTAATGCTGAACATGCTAAATGTTAACCTAAAATTTACTTTTGTGAGAATATTCCTTGTCCCAGCAAACCACTTTCCTTTCTACTGACAACCAGTACTCCCTATCACTGTATTTAGATTTATGGTTAAAATGTTATTTCTAGTGAATCGTTTGTATCAGTTCCATGTCTACATATAAATTTTCTATTTTAAAATTTAAGTACCATTTATATATCATGATCAAGGCTTTCCCAATTCTTGGGTTGCTCTCCCTAACTATATATTTGTGAAAGAAGATTATCATTTTTTACTCAAGTCAGATAATGAATAGAAGAAATATAGCAAAAGAGGTAAGCCCTTTCCTATAAATCATCTAATATAGGCAGGAATCAGAGTTTTAAGTTTAATGAGGGCTTTTATTGGCCTGTTGTTGAGACCCTATATAAAGCTAATGTTCAACTAAAATAACCTAAAGGTGTGCCTCTGTTTAACTTTACCATTGGCCTTCACAAAGAGAACATGACTCCATATTTTGAAGGAATTTAATAAACGATGCTCATAAAGTTGCCAAACATGACTAATTGTTGGCCAAAAAAAGGGGGTGAGAAAGTGAGTTTTTGGATGGATTGACATCTGTTAATTAAACATACCTGCCTGAGTATTTTTACATGATTGGGATTGTCTTTATGTGTTATAGCAGGTGATTAAAGGCTGTAAAATGAGTATATGATGATTTGTTATCTGAAGGAGCTTAGGAAAGGATTTTCTTTTATTTCGCTTTGAGGGGTAAAAAAATAAATAAATAAATCTCCCACTCTTCGTGAGAGTACGTTAACGTCGTCTCACGACGCGTCGTCATGGTTTTGTCTAACAGTAATAGGCGGGTTTTTAAAAATTCTTTTGATTGATATTTGTTGGAGGTTATGGTGGTTGATATTTCTCGCTATTGGAAACCAACTGAAAAGAGAAAATGTTCCAAATCATAACTACGTTTGCATTTATGTAAAGTACGGTCTCTTACCTTTTAGTTTGTAGTTTAAGTGCACAGAAACAGTAGTGGACTTGGGTTGTCGTTTTGTAGTCTTCAGTCTCCTTCAGCTCCTCTGATGTGTATATTCCCATTCTTCACTGAAATAATAGGGCATTTAACAAAGATCGCTATGTGCAATACTGTATTTAGTGTTTCTATTTCAATTTTTCTAGGATGTTAATTTATATGAAAATAAAATGAATAATAAAAGAGTTCTGTGCCTCCTGTGTGTATATCGCCTAAGGATACTTGCAAAATGCAGTCATAGTATTTAACACAGGAGAAAATAAGTTAGACTCTGTGTTTGGAGATTTTTTAAAAGTTCTTATTTCAAGTTGAACAGTTGTTAGTAGTCGCGTATTTAAAAAGTAAATCGAAAAGCTTCTTATGCAATCTTAAGGAAGAAGTAATACCCCCTTACGAGCAGAAATATATCAATATTTGAGAAATCCTTTTTCCAAAAGTGTAAAGTTAGATGTAAAAATTCACTGCATACAGATTAAGTGGGGAAGGGCTATTGGAAGACAGACAATAAGGCCAAAGGGAAGAGAATAGTGCAGGTGGGATATATATAGGAGAGGAAGTAAGGAATTAAACTAAGCAGTAATGGAGAAACATGGCAAGAGTTTTCTTAGTCTGTAAGTAAGCTTTGTGTTTAGGTCTGATCATTTTTCAACATAAATTCTTTTGTGTCCTGTACATTGATTTATCATCTACTTTGTGTCAAGGCATGGTGCTAATAACTGAATGTCTCAAAGATCTTCATCAAGTTGGAGAAGCATATAAAGCAACAATTATGGTTCATTGTAGTGTCCAAATCAGACATCACAAAAAGCTGGAGTGCCTGGCTGTCTCAGTTGGTAGAGCATGTGACCCTTGACCTCAGAGTCATGAGTTCAAGCCGCACGTTGGTAGTGGAGTCTATTTGAAAAAAATTAAGAACAGAAAGCCCAGAAAGCTAAATCTAGAGAGATGAGTGGGTATTAGGCAAGTGAAGGGGGAGAAATTCGCAGACGGAAAGACAGTGCTCAAAGACTCATCGAAAACATCATTTCTTTTAGGAGTTTTACCTAGTTCAGATTAGGTGGACGGAGGGAGCAGAGCATCAAGTTCAAGAAAGGATGGTGAGAGATATCACTAGAGACATAGAAAAGGATTTTATAGTAGAAAACAATGTAATTTTAAGACAGTTTGGGGTCAAGAGGGTTTTAGAATCATCTGTGCCCTTCCTGCTCATAGTAGGGTGGTGTATCAGCAGCCCTGACCTCACCCGAGAGCTTGCGTGAAATACAGTCTTGAGAGTTTTCCAAATGGTTGGTGAGGAGGGGATGATGATGTGCTTCTGAGAGAGATAACAAACTGAGGGGGAAAAGGCATGGAAAACAGATGCAAAATAGTCTGCCACACCTGATGAATTAGTTCGTCATCAAGAATAAGAGGTAGGGTACAAGGCACCGTAAGTGATAAGGGGCTACAGGTGGGATCAGGGCCAGATCATGGAAGTCTTCAGTAAGAGGAAACAGTATGTAGTCCATTGTGGGGCCAATAAGTTATTTTAAAGTAACATGAACAGGTTCTGGCTTAACAAAGCCCATTCTGGTACCCGTGTTGAGCAGTATACGCCTAGAGGCCAGAACACCTTTAAAGAAACTATTGCAAGTCCAAAGGAAGGACTAGGACTTGATAATAGTAGTAGAGATGGAAACTTAGCGCTGAAGAAATGATATGTTAAGGAGGTAAAATATATATGAGAACTTCCGAAATCTTGATGTGTGAAAAACAAGAAAGCGTACTGAATTTAAGATGACAATCTGGTTTCCTGACTGGATTGTCTGGCATAGTATGTCTCTGTGCATCAACAAAGGTGATAGGAGGAAAAGGCTTCAGTCAAGTTTCTTCAAACGTATCAGTGCCTTAGAGGAACCTGATAAGACTATCAAGAAAACCAACTCCCAAGTCTTTATCTCCCCCAATCTTCATTTTCTTCAGAATACCTGGTCTTATATAGTGACATAATTATTAGTATATAGTCTGTCACCCACTCAAGTTTAAATCCAGAAAGACAGAGACTTTTTGCCTTCAGAACTAAATCTGTGACCTTAAAAACAGCATGTGGCACTCATAAGGATGTACTGATTTAATGAATAAATAAATGAGAGGAAGAGAAGGGAAAAGTTCAGCGCTGAGAGGGAATGAAGAACTCCTAATGTAGGCTGAACATGCGTATTTCTAGTAGCTGGAAAATACCAATGAGGAACTCATGAGAGAGGTTTAATTCTGGAGGTTTTGAGGTAAGAGCCATCACTATTTGGGTGATAGTTGAAATCAGGTAGACTGGTTGAAATGGCCTGGGAAATCGAGAATAGATTTTTTAAAAACTCACTGAGATGGGGTTGAAACCAGGGTTTAAAAGAGAAACAGAAATAGGTCACAAAAGGAACCTCAGAAGATTAACCAGGGAATTAAAAGCAGAGAACCACGCAGAGGTAGTATTACAGAGGTCAAAGTAAACAGCACTTCAAAAAGAAGCACTCCCCATCATCACAATCCTTCTGCCTTTCAAACATACCACTATTGTAAATAACAAACGTAATGAAATATATGTAATGGATTGACTTTTTCAATATTCTGCTTAAAACTAGGTTAGAGAAGCAGGGCAAAAAAGAGATTTAAAGAACAAAACAAAACACGTGCGTTCTGGAGTTCTGTTCCTGGTATGACGAGTAAGATTCTAAGAGAACAACCCTCCCCCAGATAGTAACTGTAAATTCCAAACAAAATGTAAAAGCAACCACTTGGAGGCCCTGGTTAGTGAACAAAGGAGGTAGGTTCTGGGGCTCGCAGGGTGGACCAGAAAAGACAATGGCCTGAGGGCTGGCTTCAGGAATGTACAGCACTCAGTGGCTAAAACTCCCAAACCAGCGGTCTTTTTGGCCAGATGACATCATCTTTAAAGTCCTGGGAGTGGGGAGGAGGAGAGCCCCTGTCGACCAGAATTCTCTATGCCATGAGAATATACTTCAAGACTGAAGGTGAGTGAAGATACTTGCATTCGTAAGAGGATGACTCCTATATGTTACGAGTAGACCTGTACTACAAGAATGCTGAAGAAAGTTCATGTTGAAGAGAAATTATACCAAAACAAAACGTGCCTTTTCAAGAAGGAACAGCAAACATTGGAAATGGTAAATACCTAGGAAAATATAAAAGACAAGTTCTTTTTGGTTTTAGTTTATTTAACACTGACAGTTTAAAGCAAGAAATAACATTTCATTGAAGAGTTCATAATGTATAGAAATGTAATGCATAAGGCAATTTCAGAGGATGGCACAGGATGAAAGACTATATTGCAAGATTTCTACATCTTTACATGAAGTAGTAAAATATTAATTCCAAATAGACTAAAAAGTTACGGAGCTATACTCTCAGAATGTACAACCCTTAGTGCAACCACTGAAACATAAGGGAAAGAAGGAGAGCTAAAGAGGTAATAGACACATTAAGATGGAATTCAAAATCTATTTGAATTCTTAGGAAGAAAAAAGGACTAGGAACAACAGAATTAGGACAAAGGACAAACAAGATGACAGCCTTAAACACAACCTTATCGACAGTTATTTTATGTGTAAATTTATGTGTAAACACTGTAGAAGAGATTATCACAATGTACTTTTTTTTTGAAAGGCATTATGCTGCCTACAAAAA